ACGCTGATAAAAAAATCATAATTATAAAATAACAACAACACTGCGGCGGCTAGCTCTCAGACGCTAACCGCTAAGGCCCTGTGAAAGAAACAGCACAGACCGGTATGCAGTCTGGGCAGGTCTAAGCTAGTTTATGCTGGTTTATGCACGTCTGGTGCTGGTTTAGCTGATCACCCAGTACGGTCATGCTGGTTGACCAGCATACCAGCATCCACAACAGTGTATCATCACCGTCCAAAGCAAACCAAGCATCTCCAAACTGGCAGCTTTACAGAGGAGAGCAGAATCGCTCTGCATCTTCACAGTACATTACTTGGAGCGTTTCTATTGGTCCATCATCATGAAGCTCTTCCTCACAGTGTGCAGAGCAGCTGAGCTCCTCAAACCACATCAGAACAAAATGAGAAGAAATGGAGATACATGTTTTTTTGGACAGCGAGGACACGCTGGTTTTGGTGGTGACCAACATACTTACCTCCACTGCTGCTGACCAGCATCCAAAACACAGCCTACGCTGGTCGCACTGGTGACACCTATACTGGTCTGAGCTGGTTTCTGTAGCAGGATTAGAGGGCAAACACACAGTGAGGCCATTTCCTGGCTGGTCTCTTCCTGGGGTTAACGCGCTTTTCCAGTACTGTATGTTCTGTCCGGTTCTCAGATGTATTTCCTGGAGCCGACACTGTGCTTTTCTGCACGACAGCGCGGACCCTCAAGGTCAGGCGCTCTCCAGAAGACACAAACGGAGACCTCCATAACTACACCAACAGCTACAGACCTTATAACCACCGGCAGCACTGCTGAGCTCAGTCTGCTCACACTCTATTTTCCTTTACTCCCTACAGCAGCGTCCACCCTAACGGTCAGTCCGCATCCGTGATGACTTTATTGAGGCCGTCCTGCTATTTTAAGCGTAGTGTTTGATTAAATCTCAGCCTCTGACTGAAACGGCCCTCAGGGAAATGACCAGCAGTGAAAACGAAAGTAGGAACGGAGCTTCGAGAACGTCTTTCTGGGTTTATTTATTTTTTTTGGCACACTGACTTTGGGGAACTTTCTTATCCTCCCGTTCGCCCGACAGATGTTTAAGGGCATCAAGGTCGTGTTTCAGGAACATCAACATCCACTTTCTCTTTCTAAAGTCACCCCAGGACACGCTCGGCTCCTCACGCTCAGCCACTCTTACTGAGAAATGAACCCAGTCTTGGCAGAAATGTCTCAGTATTAAACAGATGTGTCATTATTTTATTACTAAACACAATATTATTTAAATATGTAACAGCTGCACAACTGCTGGTCTGATCTGAAAGTGAATCTGCACTGATTTTTCAACATCAGACTTTATTCTGATCGATTATAGTTTGAGTGTATCTAACATATCGCTGCCAAACTAAGCCTCACATCTCCAGCGAGGCAACTTTACAGGAGAAGGAAAACCGTTCTTAATCTTTAATGGAAGTTAATGGAGAAATACTGTTTTCCCAAGTAATTTTGGACCATTTCTGTTGGTCCGTTCACCATAAAATTCTGACACAACATAAACAGCAACTGCCTCTTTCAGAATATGTCAAAAAATGACACAGGTTTTATAGTGATGTATTTAATTATGTGCTTATTTTTGGCTCAAATTCAAATCATTTTTCTGCATAAACATCAAAATAATAGTAAAAAACATTCGTTTACATTTTTTATTCAGTGTATTCTAAGAAAACAATGCTGACTCAGACCAAAACAGCCAAACTGTGTTGAAATGAGAGATTTATGATGCACCAACAGACTCTAAATCAATGTGAACTGCTGTGAGATCACAGACTAACACTGTTGTCCATGACATTTACTGGAAACTCATTTTCGTCTGTTTGTCCTCCGATAATTTTAGCAGGGTTGATTGATTATAGTTTGAGTGTATCTAACATATCGCTGCCAAACAAAACCTCACATCTCCAGCGAGGCAACTTTACAGGAGAAGGAAAAACGTTCTTAACCTTTAATGGACGTTAATGGAGAAATACTGTTTTTCCACGTAATTTTGGACCATTTCTGTTGGTCCGTTCATCACAAAATTCTGACACAACATAAACAGCTGCCTCTTTCAGAATATGTCAAAAAATTTAAAAAAAAAAATGGAGATCCAAGGCTTTGTAGCGATATATTGAAATATGTGTTTATTTTTGGCTCAAATTCAAACCATTTTCCTGCACGAACATCGAAATAATAGTAAAAAGCATTTGTTTACGTTTGTTTATTCAGCGTGTTTTTAGAAAATGATACAGAATCTTACCAAAACAGCCAAATCATGGTGAAAACGTGAGATTTATGATGCACCAACAGACTCTAAATCAATGTGAACTGTTGTGAGATCACAGATTAACACTGTTGTCCATGACATTTACTGGAAACTCCTCTTCGTCCGTTTTTTTCCTCCGATAATATCAGCAGGGTTTCTAAACCCGCAGAGCAGCGCAGATCAATGTTATTCAGTCTATTTTCAGCCCCCAGAACCTTTGGCCACATTTTTTCTGGAGAGTTTGGGTGAAACGTGAGATCCGAGAACTCAATATTAAAGAACAGCTTTGTTTTTGCTTTCCCAGCTTTGTGGAACATTCTGGCAACTTCTGTACCTCAACTATTAACATGTGCAGCTTTCCAGAGTCACAGTGCGTCCATCTGTGCCCACCGTGAGGACGTTAAAGGGCCGGTCTCCGACGTTTTCACTGGACTCTACTATTTTCCCTGCTGAGCTCCATGTATGATGTTTGTGTGGTTTATAAGGTACTAAAACAGTGAACGTGACTGTTTTCCAACCGCTTTTAATCCTAAATTAAACAGCCTGCGCCTTTAAGGCTGACGTATGCAAATGAGCTCTGTTCTGATTGGCTACGTCTCGTTCCGAAAGCAGGCTGGGCTGAAACGCTCCTTATAACTTCAGCGTGAGTGAGCAGAGCTGATCTGCTGGCGGATATTTGTAAACGTGTGAATCACAAAAACAGGCTGTTCAGTAAAAGGAATTGTTCCGTTTAGAACCATGAGTTCTATATAGAACCATTCCATGCTTAAATGGTTCCTTGCCTGGTGAAGTGGATCTTCAGACTGATGGAGAACGTGTTGTGAATGTATGATGTCAAGCTTGTAACAACAGCAGAACCTTTTTGGTGACTTATAGAACCCTTTCAGAAAGGTTAAATCACCTGGAATACCATAGCAACCACCTAGCAACCACGTGAGATACCATAGCAACTGCCTAGCTACACCCTAACAACCACTTGGAACAAGTAGTACCTACTTAACAACACCTTAACAACCACCTGTGGTACAACAGTGAAATGGTTCTTCAGGTTGATGTAGACCTTCTATTGTTACAATCTTAAGCTTGTTACAACAGAAGAACCCTTTCTGGTGCTAATGTTACTACAGAAGAACCCTTTTTGGTGCTAATGTTACTACAGAAGAACCCTTTTGGTGCTAATGTTACTACAGAAGAACCCTTTTTCGGTGCTGTCTAGAACCCTTTTCAAAAAGGCTGAATCGCCTGGAATACATTAGCATAGACCTGTCGTACTATCGTGAGGAGGTTCTTCAGACTGATGGAGAATGTGTTGTATATGGTTCTATTTAGCCCCAAAAAGGGTTCTTCTATAGTGTGACGTCAAGCCTGTTACAATATAAGAACCTTTTTCAAAATGGTTCTACATAGAACCATACATAACACACTCTCCATCAATCTGAGTGTTCTCTGAGTGTTCATGGTTCTAAATGGAACCCTTCCCTTTACTAAAGAACCCAGAGCAATGTTATCTATGACCACTAACGGCTAAAGTGGAATACGGCCAGATCTGACCGCTATTCAGGTCACATGATGCCCCTTTTGACGCACTTTGATATTATTTGTCCTTTTCTGCCAATCAGTGCTTATTCAGTAACGTCATATCTGCCTTAAACCTGGTCTGTTTATCGTTTAAATGTCCTAATCCATAAACTGACCCCGCGGCAGCGCTCAGAGGGGGAGGGAACAGACTGACCGGGACAGTAAAGGCTGTAATGGACACTCCAATTGAGGCCGAACATTAAGGCTGTCATTATATTTCCTTCTGGACTGAAGCTGAAGCTGCGCTGCTCCCACCAAACACTCAGTTCAGTCCTTATTCAACAGTCCAGACTCAGTTTTACTGATTCCAGTCTTTTCTGGTCTTTTTTAGCTGCAATGGTCAGAAAACATCCTTAAAAAAACAATATTACATAAGCTTATTTTTCATAATAAGCCCACATGAAGTGGTTTTGAATGCTTTCCCGAAACACTGCAGGCACACTGTGACCAGTGAGCTTATATAATGTTGGTTTTCAGCGTGTTTTCTTTTCAGGATGTGTTCATTCTACACGCTTTAAAAGCAGCAGACCTAAAATTAAATCACACCAACACAAACCAGCACATTTAGACACAGCACGGCCAACATCTGACCACAAACACGTCCAGTCTGAGAGCTGTTACAGCTGTACTGGTCATGAACGGACAGCTGATGAGCCATAAACACAGAATTAATTAGACTTCCTTAATATTTGTTCGACTGTTCTAGATAGGGTTCCACTGGCCTCCCAAACAGGCCACGTTCCTCTGTTGGAAGATTAGCATTATTGTTTTCTGTTAGGCGTGAAAAACACACAACCCGCTAATATTATTATTATTATTATTATTATTATTATTATTTAAACTGCGATTATTTTACATTTTTAGAAAAATACGCGCTGAAAAACAACACAAGTACGCGTTCTCTCTCTCCTCCACCCGTTTTCCGGAAAGCCCGCCCCCGCTGCGCTGGGATTGGCTGCCCCTGGCTGACTGCTTGTAAGCGTGAGCTGCTAGCCAATCCCAGCGCAGGAGGGCCGAGCGAACTACCCAATCAGAGGCGGGTGGGGGCGGGCCGTGTCTGAAAACGGGTGAGGGAAGAGAGAGCCGCAGTCTGGGCTAA